CCAGGGGCCCCGAGCGGGCTCAGCCGCTCACCGAGCCCCGGGTGGCCCTGGCCGGGTGCCCCCCCGCCGGGCCGGCGCTGAGTCAGGCTGTTCCCGGCGCTCCCGCGGCCGGTACATCGCGTCCCCACGCCGGGCGCCTGGCACCGCGCCCGCCCGGTGCAGCTCCCGGCAGGGGCACGGCCCGGTCCGGCCCCGGCGGCTCCTCCGGGGGCTGCGGCTCCTCCGGGCTGCCGGGCTGCTGTTCCCCGGGGGGGAGAAGCTGCGGCAGGGGTGAAGCTCCGAGAACTGCCCGTGAGGCTTTGCCGTAACGCTGTCTCTGTGCTCACCCTGCCCGCTGTTCCCCCAAACCGGGGCTCCCCCAGCGCCCCGCAAACATTGGAGCAGCCGGGGTGGGGGGGGATCTGCAGGAGTGTTTTTCGGTCTCMGATCCTTCAGGCAGGAGCGTGTTGGTGGCAGGGCACAGTCTCGCTGCTGAGCGTCCTCGGGGGGATCGGACCCCCGGTACCCCCACACCCAGCCCAGGAGAGAGGTGCCAGCCCGCACCCCCACCCCGACACCCCCGCTGGAGCCGCCCCCAGCCAGCCGCCCTCCCCGGCGGAGGCTGGTACAGTTCGTTACGTCCAGACCGGAATGTACTTTGTGTTAGAAGTGGCCACAAGCCAGGACGGCAAAGCCGGACTTTATTTATCCTCCCTGCTCCGGCCCCGCTGCTGCATCCTGCCCTTGCTCGTGTGGGGCTGGATCTCCGGCGGGGCTGGGGGAGCCCTGGGCTCTGTCCGCCTCTCTGCTGCTCSTTGCCAGCCGGGGAAGGCAGGGATTTCCCCCATTTCCTCAGAGGGGAAATAATCTGGGAAAATATTTTTGTTCTTTCAGCTGGTAAAAGCTGTCCCCGGCGTCTGGAAGGAAGCGGCGTGGGGAAGATGGGGACTCAGGGATGGATCTGGTCCCAGTAAAGCCTCTGGAGGGAGGTGCCCTTGTCTGCGTGCTTGAGGGGCTTTTTGCAGCAGGGGCCAGGGTTTGGGTCGCAATCTGGTGATTTGTGGATTGGAAATGCACAGGAACGAGTCAGGATAGGGCAGGATAGGSCAGGATCAGGCCTGTGACAGAGCAGGGGCTGCTCTGGGGGTACCCCCATGTGTGGGGGGATGCCTTGGCGCCTCTGCTGTTAAAATATCGTGAGCCCGAGCAGAGAAGGGGAGGCAGCCGCAGCCTCGGAGTGACCACAGGGATTGCCCCAGGCTGGGTCTGGCCGGTCATTGCACGACTACACCCAGCATCCCTCCCACGGGCTTCCCGCTAGGAAGATCTGGGGGTGATTTTCACACAGAAAGCAGCTTCCCAACTGCTCTGCATCCCCGGGGTCGAGCATCCGCATGCCAAACAAGTGATCTTGCCCTCCTGCCCCATCCCCCCGTGTCCCCGTGTCCCCACGGCCCGTCCGTCCCTGCTGGCAGCGCAGCTGCACCTACAGCCAGTGGCAAGGACACGGTGTTCTCCCGAACTCTGCCGCCTGTTGTGCAACCACTGGCTGCACCTCCCGTAAACACACAGCTTCCCACGAGCACGCCASCGGGCTCCTGCCACGCTGTGCCCCCGCTGACAGCGACAATCGGGGCCCTCGGAGGGCGGCACACACCGCGGGGTGCGGGCGGGTGAAGTTACAGCTGAAAAAAAACCTGCTTCGATCCCCAAAATGGGCAGTGGTAATCTGGGTTCTGTGGCAGGGGAAGGATGGGTTTGATCCCCTCGGGAAGGGGAACATCCCTGCCTCGGGACTGTGAGTTTGGTCTGCCGCACACAAAAGGAAACCAGGAGAAAACCCATTTTCTCCAGTCTCAAGAGATTCACTATGATGTGGCTCCTCACTGTGCAGCYAAGGTGGAGGGACTCCTCTCCTCCCCATGCTCTCGAGGCAGATTAACGCTGGTTATTTTTAGCAGAAGACAAGGATGAATAAAAATATCCCCTGCTGTATTTTAATTTTTTCCCTCTCTCTTTCAGGAACGCTGCTCTCACCTCGCACAAGGTGCTCGGGAGCCGGCACGAGGCAGGGCAGGTTCYTTGGCTTTGCTCCCTGCTTCCAGACTTTCCCCAAGGCTCGCTGTCCTTTCCGGGCTGGGGCAGGACATGTGTGGCCAGCTGGAGGGCCAGGGGGAACAAGCAGTACCYCTGGCAGGCGTCACAAAGCCGAAGAGGATTATTTATGGAACAGATTTTCTCCAGGTTGTGTTACAGGGGTGGGGGTGAACGGGGCAGACCCCAGCACTGGGCGAGTGGGAAGTTTGGGACATCTCCCCACCCAAAAAAGCCCAGTGAGCTGAGGGGTCTGGCACTGGTATAGCCATGGTTTGGAAGATGTCTTTTATCTTTTAAAAAAGCTGCTCTGATGCTTTCTTCCCATGTATTTTGTGTTTTATTTTCCTATGGAATCAAACAAGTTTACCATTTTTGTAGTGCAAGAATGAACCAGGTTGAACCCTGTTGGTCCCCTGGGATTTTTCAGGGCTTTGGTATTATCTCAGGGGCCTGATGGAATTAAGCTGTGGGGTTTCTTGATGCTGCAAACCCCACTTTTCTCTTTTTTTTTTTTTTTTTTTTTTTTTTTTTTTTTTTTTTTTTTTTTTTTTTTTTTTTTTTTT